GTGGTTTTTTTTTTTTTTTTTTTTTTTAACCTATGGTAAGAGTAAGGGTCCCATGTTTCCAGTTTTTATGCTAAAGTACACTAATCCGTTGCTGACTGCAGCATCATATTCACAAGCATGAGATTGGTATCAAACTTTTCATTTAACTTTTAACAACACAGAAGATAATTCAAAATATCAAACTATTCCTTTAAAATCCCTGCATTACATAAAGTTCCCATAGTGAGATATCTTACCAAAACTCCCCGTCTTCCATCTTAAGATGCAGGTCTTCTCGTTCAGAAGGGTCAATCTGACCCCATTCAGGTGCACTACACACGACAACACAAAGAGAAACAGGCACCGAGGATCAGACATAATACTCATAAAAAATACATTAACATAAAACACACAGGAACATTTATGCTTGTGGACACTCACTTGTCACTCCAGGCACCGGTCCACTCAACCTGGCCCCAAGGGTTACGTACTCGGATTAGGCGTTCCATCCTGCCACGGAAACCGACCTAAATGACACACAGAGTCACAGACAACTTAGGACTGCAAATATTATTCATAATGGGAACCAGTAAGGACAACAGAGTCATGGACCAACAGACCTCCTTCAACCCAGTGACTGAGTAGGCGTGACCCTTCACAAGCTTCTTGAATGTAACAGCCTCCATGTCAAAGGCACTGGTGATCTGTATTGATACATAAGCATAATTACTACATACGAGTATGAATTCTTTATCACAGAAATAAACAGAAGTGCTTTTAATGTAAATGGTCCTCTCAGGATGGTGTACCATTGATCTTGGTGGTGTGGCAGTGTGTTCAGCACTTACATCAATAGAGCAGCCCAGCAGTGAGCCTCTTTCCAGAGCCTTGCTAATGATCCTGTACAGGTCTCTGGGAGCTCTGCGGAGCTCGTACATCTCAGACACACCGCCTGTGAAGTCCTCAAACCCTTCAGTGGTGCTTCCTCCAGACAGAGCCTCATAGGAGCCATTCAGCCTGCCACATAAAAACACATTTCAGCACTTATGGTTTACAGCTTCCTAATGAGTCATACTGAATAATTTAGCAACTGTGGAGTCACTTTCAATACCTACTTGGCATAAGCCTTCTCCATGAGCGCACTCCAGAATTCATTGCCTTCAGCAGAATGGACGAACATAAGCTCTCCATCTTTGGCAGGCAATCTGTCATCTATCACAACGTCTACCCATTCGCCAAACTGCCAGAACTGCAACACAATGCAACAGTAATCAAGAACTCTAATCTAAACGATTGGTCCTGCACTTGATAGGAAGGGCAACGAGTAGAAGATGAGCATACTGTACCTGAAAATGGAAGATTCCAGCATAGTCATCCTCGAAGGACTGCCCATGTGGAACAACGCGATGAAGAAGCCTCTCATTCAAGGTGAGAGAGGCGATAGCTGCTAAGAGCCAGCAGTCACCTGCAAGTGAGGAGATGCATTTAGGAACCTCCATCCAATTATTGTATTTTTCATGACTGTTTTAATATTAATGACTTAACCAACAAAACTCACCCAGCGCTCCCTGACAGATGTCTGTTCTGGTGGCACCACTCACGATGAATTGAGGGTTGTTTGTCAGCTCCTATGAAAAATAAGTCTGGATGAAGATCATTCAAAATTCAGACTAGTCAACACAGTTTGTGATCTAAAGCAAATTACTGCTATTCTTGAATCTATGCATCAATTTCCCTGTGATGGGGGTGGTCTGAGAATGCCATAAGATGCCAACAGCTGCAGGGGTCTGAGGCATTCCAGTCACTATTTGTCCTATTCTGAGTATGCAGACTGTTTTCTCACCGTGGGTCTCATCCACACCACATCTCTAGTTTTGGAGGAATGAGGGCCAAGTTCTTTGAAGCCCAGGGATGGAAGTTCAGCTGGGAAACAGGGGTCTTCAAATAAGCAACCCGACTCCACACACTGTTGCTTCAGTGCCTCATAGTTCTGGTTGGCAAAGAGCACAGCCTGCTCCTTGGAGCCCATGCCTTCTGCCCGGAGCCTGTTGGTGTATATTGTTGCAGAGATCCCTCCCACTGAATACATACTGGTGGAAGATAAAAATATGAGGCTGTGCATAGTGATATCTATAAACAGAGTCAGAACTTTAAGAACCAGACTGCTAATCAGCGATGCACTCTTGTCTAAGAGTTACAGCGGAGCAATTAGGTATGGGAAGGTGTGTAGGAAAACAATGTTCTTAAATGCAATTAACATGTTTTTGTTTGTTTGTTTGGACTGAATCTGTCTTCAAATAATTTGTCTGACCTGATTTCAATTCTGCAGTATGTTGATAATCTAAATGCAACACAGAGCTTAATACTTTTCAAAATTCTAACAAAGACCCACTGATGAAACTGAGGTCAGGTCTCCTGTATTCTATTTATTAATGTATTGAATTTATAGGTTAAACAACCTGAAGTGACTTTGTGTTCAACATTTTAAAGTGAGGGGAGAGCATGTGTGTGTGAGAGAGAGAGACTCTGTTTAGACCTCCACGTTGGCAAATAAAAATGTATAACTGAACAGTTACCTGAATTAATAAAACATGACAAATTCAAGTAATTTAATAAATTGCTGAAACCTTATTTTTGTGTACTGTTAACATTCTCTGGGAGAATAGGGGGTGCATTAATAAAACTCATGACCTCAGTCCTGGCTTCAGTAACAATAATACTTTCTTTTTGTTATAATTTTAACATAATGGTGAGTGGTGAAATATTAAATCAAAGTAAACACACTGCTATGGAAACCTCAATTAGAAATCAGTGTATATAAAAGCAGCACAGGGAAATAATAGATGTGGGGAAAGCATATACACAAGAGAAGTGATTACAGAGAAATGAGACAAGAACAGCACACCACCACTGTAAACACACCAAAGTAGGAATAACATAACTCAGACATATGATACCTTGCGTGTATAGGCAGGCTGAGAGAGAGGAGGAGACAAAAAAAAGAGAGAGAGTGGTCATTCAGTAATATGTCAGCACTGGTAAAGTTAATGTTTCCTTCAAATGAACTAGATTGCCTTGACTCTCTCAAAAGCACATGCTGACATGTTAGCAATTCCGGCCAAATGGACTTAATGTTTACGACTTATTGAGGGTCTTTTTCTCATTGCTGAATGCACTTGCTTTTCTGCACCAGAGAGGTTTTTAGATTCAGAAGCAGTCGGTCAGGTTTCCAGGGAGCAAACCAAAAGTTAAAACGACCCAAATACAAATCACTTGGCTATCTCCTTCTGAATCTGTGCTGGAAAAACTGGGACATGTGGACTGGACTGCTCTGTTCAGAAGGAATCCTAATGAGCTGGGCTCAGTAAACCAGGATGAAGCTACATACAGTCAGGTCCATAAATATTGGGACATCGACACAATTCTAACATTTTTGGCTCTATACACCACCACAATGGATTTGAAATGAAACGAACAAGATGTGCTTTAACTGCAGACTGTCAGCTTTAATTTGAGGGTATTTACATCCAAATCAGGTGAACGGTGTAGGAATTACAACAGTTTGCATATGTGCCTCCCACTTGTTAAGGGACCAAAAGTAATGGAACAATTGGTTTCTCAGCTGTTCCATGGCCAGGTGTGTGTTATTCCCTCATCCCAATTACAATGAGCAGATAAAAGATCCAAAGTTCATTTCAAGTGTGCTATTTGCATTTGGAATCTGTTGCTGTCAACTCTCAAGATGAGATCCAAAATGTTGTAATTCCTACACCGTTCACCTGATTTGGATGTAAATACCCTCAAATTAAAGCTGACAGTCTGCAGTTAAAGCACATCTTGTTCGTTTCATTTCAAATCCATTGTGGTGGTGTATAGAGCCAAAAATGTTAGAATTGTGTCGATGTCCCAATATTTATGGACCTGACTGTATTAGTGAGGGACTGGGAGATCCATGAGAAAAAGCCTGAGTTAGGAAAAAAACGGATTTGTTTCTGTGCAAAATATGCTATGCTTTTGACAGAAACAATTCTGCAGGCAGGGACATTGTTCACATGGCCAGCTCCCCATAGCTGTCGAGTTTTGCAGGAATGTCCTTATGCTCTGCAAACAGCTACAGAGAGAGTCTGGTGCTGTATAATAACAAATGCAAACTCCTTTTTACTCCCCGGTGGTCAGGGAAAGGCTGATCCATGTAGCCCTACGATGATGATGTCATCTAACAGGACTCAAACTTCAACAACACTCAACAGTTAACTAGTCTATCACAGTCACGCACTGCACAGAGGACAGTACTGGGCTATCCTCTGTGCAGTGCATGACTAAAGAGATAAAGTAATGCTGATCATGTGTTGGCTGCTTTGTGAATGTAAACGCTATCAAAAGTTACAGTACGTCAGGGTCAGTATGTTTACAGCACCTGTTCAAAAGTGCAAGTAGGCCTGCCGTCTTCTGCGCACTGGCCTGTAGTCTGCTTCAAAGATTTCTGACAATAGTCCAAATCTTTTACACACAATCACTCTCAGTCGACACATTTCATAAGCTAGCTGAATTACACCCGAATATGACAGCTGTGAGCGTACCAACTATTATTAGTGCTACAGAATGCCTATAACTTTAGCCTGTTAAACGAAACAAACCGCAATGTAGGCCCACACTGCAATAAAACCATGAGGCAGGTACCGTTAACCTTAAGCCGGGTCGATGAACACATTCATTAACAAAAGACGACAAAAGTCACCACCCTTTAAAAAGTGAATGCCAAAAACTCACCGTTATTAATGTAACTTTTAAAAGCAACCAACAGTGACAACCGTGTAAATCTGGAGAAGATGGGCGCACCCGTCCAGCCCTCTAAGGTCCGCACCCGCTGCAGGAAAGACCATCCCCTACCCGAGAGGGGGTGGGGCTACTCGAAGGACCGCTACGACGTGCAAGGAACTGTGTCACGTGACCGGACGAAAAACCCCGAGTTAGCATTAGCACCAGTACTTGTAAATTAGCATTGCAAGTGTGTGTGTGTGTGTGTGTGTGTGTGTGTGTGTGTGTGTGTGTGTGTGTGTGTGTGTGTGTGTGTGTGTGTGTGGGCCCCAATTGTAGCCTAATCTAGCGTAGTGTAATGTATTACAATATAGAGTTTTAGTTAGGGTTTTGTCAGTTTGACAAAAATGTTCTATACTTGTCTGAAACTGGGTAAAAAAGGGCTACCTACAGTTTATAAACCACTTGTCTTCTGTAAAATGTAGGTCAGTTTAAAACCATTACTATAAGAGTTTCTTTGCTCATATTTCACCTCATCTTTCCTGGTGACAGCCCCGGCAAACTGAAACAGCTGTTTCACCTGAAAGATAATGTGCAAATTAAAGGCCATCACATCTATGAGGCTGAAAGCTGATAGACCAAGCTAGCCACAGATATTACTGCAGCTCCAGTTTATACATCTTGAAATGTGTCCATAGTCATTTTTTGAGAATATTTGCAGACAGCTGAAGTTGTTCTAAATAATGTGGCCCACTAAGTGTTCTTTCTGGCTTTTGACTCCTTACCTGACTCCAAAGGAGAGCTGCACAAGAATTCCTATATGCCTAGACTGTCTGTTTATGCATACATGGCAAATAAAAATCTTGACTTGACACTATCTGAAAAAAATTGAATGTTTGAGAAAACCTTACTCTGGACACACCTGCTGCCATTTGAAACAGAATAGACTTTATTGGCCAGGTGTGTTGGACACATCAAGAATTTGACTCCAGTGTTCATGTATAATATTTGTCATAGGGCAGAGAGACACTTTGCAGGATGCCCTATAGTACATGGGGCAATGTGTATTTAGCATGGAGGGATTTGGCAGGGTAGTTACTGTGTTCAGTGTGTTGCTGTGTGGTGGCTGGAAAGAAGAAAATCCGGTACAGTCGGCACAACAAGGACCAGGACACTGCCACATAACAGGCAGCGGCCCTGCAGGATGTTCCCCTGCCAGCAGAAGTGGAGGCTTCCATGTGGCTCGGAGGGGGCTGACTCAGTACTTCTTCCTTCTGACGTCTGTCATTTCTGCTGTTTTGAATGTGTTCAGCTCCAGGTTGTTGTGACCACACCACTGGGCCAGCTGTTCAACCCCGTCTGTACACAGACACATCACCATTTCAGATGAGACCAATGACCGCTGTGTCATCTGCGAAGTTCAGGAGTCGAACAGAGGGGTCACCTGCGGTCCAGTCATTGGTCTAGAGTGATAAGAGCAGTGGGGAGAGTACAAAACCCTGAGGGGTGCCTGTGCTGATTGAGGTTTTCCCTAGCCTCACCTGCTGCTTTCTATCAAAGCTGGTGTCCACTGAGAGGTGTAGGCAGGCACAGTCAGCTGGGTGAGTTTGGAGTGGAGGATGTCTGGGATGACTGTGTTGAACACAGAGATGAAGTCCACAAAGAGAATCTGTCCATAGGTCCCTGAGGAGTTGAGGTGTTGTAGGATGTAATGCAGTGCCATGTTGTCTGCATCATCCACTGATAAGTTTCCCCAGTAGGCAACCTGCAGGGGGTCTCTGACAACCTTCAAGTGGGCTAGCACCAGTCTCTCAAAGGACTTCACCACAGATGTCAGGGCTATAGGTCTTTTATTCAGTCTGCTGATGAAAGGTTTCTTGGGAACTGGGATGATGGAGCATTTGAGGCAGGAGGTGACTCTGTTGAAGATGTGTGAAGATTGGAGCCAGCTCATCATATAAAATATAAATCATAAAATAACACAGTGAGACAGAAGGCGTATCAAGTGGCATACAAATATACATATTATTTAAAGGGCCTGGAAGCTTTTTACTTTTTAGGGTTTACTCATGCCATAGTTGGACTAGTTTTGATGATTTCACATTAAAGATTTCTGTATTTCTATTTTTGGCAGTGCTCTTCTTACTGGTGTGAAATGGGATCAGTTGGGAAAAACTGTTGTCATTTTTTTCTGTGCACCAATCAGAATTGAATGTTTATCAACAGCTGAATACAAATCTGATGACAGTTGGTGGATTGTCAAACTACACCTATCTGGAGCTGATAAAAGCCAGAAATGTAATTCAGGTTCAAGATAATTTGCATTTATGTTAATTTGCCCAATTACTTTTGGTCCCTGTGGAAGTACTATGTGTAAACAGTCAGTTTAAACCTCATAATTAGCATTTCAACAAGGCATATATA